TTAGTATATTTTCACGTGAATCGAACGAAACATAAAATTCAGAAAGATAAATTGAATATAAGACTGCATAGACGTATGGTGTTTTACATAATAAATGAAAGTTTCAATCAGATACAGGAAATAAGAGAATTGTAAACCTTGTAATGTGGGTCATCTATCTAACTCCATTCTCGATATCAAGGAAGGGAAGACGGATATACAGGCAGACAGACAAAAAGACAGACGGACGCCAGTGAAAATTTATAGGGCTGCAATTTTTGAAAATTGTAGCGTAATTCTGTTTATGATATAGTATCACACCCATTTACCAGGTCACTCCAATTGTTCGAATTTAGTAGTAATTAATTGTGTAATAATTAATCTATTAGAAAAATAAATAAAATTACCTTCTTATCAATCTTGTTTTCTAAGAACCAAAACAAAAACAAAAAAATTATAATTAGGTTTCTGTATGAAAATATATAATTTCTGATAAACGAATTAATTAAATATATATCTTACTTATGCATTTTATTAAAAGACGATGCTTTTGTTTTTTAACCTATATTTAATTATAAGACAGAAAATTAATAAAATAAAACAAAAAATAACAATACTTCAAAATGGAAGAAAAATTCGATAAACAATAAGCAACCTTTGATATTATAGCTTCGTTTTCAGCGTCGCAATCTCCAGGATTGAACTATAAAAAGCAATAATTATAATTTTTCTTTTTCATATTTTACTATTATACAAAGTAAGTAATTTATAAATATATAAGAAGTTATAAGAATATAATGCGTTAAGAGATATAATCAGAATTAAATGATTATTTACTCATTATAAAAGAATAATTTCATTTTTATTTTCTTAGCAGTTTAATTTCCTTTTACTCTCTTATTCATATGTGTAATATTATAATATTATTTACTTATAGGGAAAAAATAGCACACTTTAACACATTATATTTTATTAAATTTTAGAAATTCAAACACAATACTTACTTCTCCATTATCAAAAATCTCGTTAATATCTTCCTATAAGCAAGAAAATAAAACAATTAATATCAAATATTTGCGCAAAGTTTAAAATTATATATAATAATAATAATTATCTCTCCCGTGGCCACCATCTGGTCTTGGTGGGAGAGCCCACTAATTTTATTGATCTATAGAGCGATGTAGGCTGGAGCACAAGATCTTGGTAGGGACCATGCCAGTAAGGTTTATGAGGAGAGATGAAGCTAAAAGTGATCACACCCATTCTGTGGAGATATTTTTCATAGTAGTAACCAGATCTAAGTGTGATACCAGCTCGGACGTCGCCCGGTTAATAAGGTCCGCTTGGTTACCAGTGGCGAAAGCAGCGCCAGCCCAAACATGGCTACTGCAATGCCCTCGACAAAAGCGAGGAATCAACCTAGCCCTGATGTTTCTGTGGCAATGCATTCACAGACCAAAAAGGCTGGAAAACTACGCCAACGGATGAAATGGACATTAGAAATGAACGAGTTTATCATCCGTACTTACTACACCATCACAAGACTCGAAACAAATATGACAGCATACAGACAACAACTACACCATAGATTCACACAACAATATCCTCACCTCACTGTCACCGAACAAAGGGTTGTCGATCAAAAAAGAACAATTATACACAAATACTTAATCCCACAAGCAAAACTTGAACTTATGAAACAACGGGTTGCTTATCAAATACATCAACAGACAGAAACATTTAAAATTAATGAAGATCACGTAACCTACCAGGATAATCCAGCAACGAGCATTGATTATAGCACACACACAACAACTATCACTAATGATACTACAGTCACTTCCTCATTCACCAATGATAACATAGACATAGAATTAGTTAATACACTCTCGCTTATATTTCAGGAAACACTCACTAAATATACAGGTACAGATCCCACACAAAGACCACGAACACTAAAAATCAACATGTCAAAGGTAGTAGGAAAAACAGTAAATTATGTAAACACTCACTGCCACACTACATTCATTCAATTTCTACACTCTCAGACATTCATAAATTAGTTTATGCTGGGTCAATCACAGTAGTGACACACCATGGACTGAAAATACAATCTCAGGCATACACACACAACACTCAATTCTATCATAAGCCTGCCTGGCAGAGAAGAATAGAAACACAAATAAATGACATTAGACAGTAATTAGGCAGGTTGGCACAATACACTAAAAACAATATAACACCCAAATTAAAGAAACAACTCGAAAACATTTTCAAGAAAATCAAAACACACACAAAACACGAACATCACAACACACACAATACAGAATACATCGATACACTAAAACAGAAACTCGCAGCCAAAGCACGTAGACTCAAGCGATACAAAATATGTACCCTACGAAAACAACAAAATAAATTATTCCCCAAAAATGAAAAATTTTTCTACAGACAAATCAGTACCAAAACAAACACTGATACACAGCACAGTGGCACACCAACAGGAGAATAACTCACAAATTACTGGTTTTTTTCTATGGTCCAATGCTGTTACACACAATGCTGATGCAGGCTGGATCGAGGAGGAGAACACAAACTTGCACAACATACCAACTATGCCCTGGGCTGAAATAAACGTACACGACATCCACTACGCTGTGAACAGAACACACAACTGGAAGACACCTGGTGTAGACAACATTCACAATTTCTGGTACAAAAAGTTTACATCACTGCACCAGGAACTAGCTAAACATCTAATACACATCATCATCAATCCACAACACATGCCAAAATTTATTACTCAGGGCATCACCTACATGAAACCTAAAAACAACACCACCACAGACCCCACACAATACAGACCAATTACATGTCTTCTTCCAACACTATACAAATTATTGACATCCTGTATCACAAACAAAATATACAAACATGTTGAAGAACACGACATTCTTACAGAACAACAAAAAGGTTGCCGTAAAAATCACAGGGGATGCAAAGAACAATTACTCATAGATTCAGTCATTCTATGGCAAGCACACAAACAACACAGAAACATACACATGGCATATATAGACTACAGAAAAGCATTCGACAGTGTTCCACACAGTTGGCTGCTACATATTCCACAAAATTCATCCATTACTCATTGCATTCTTCCAAATAAATATGCATCACTGGAGAACAACACTACATCTCAGGATTCATAACAATTCCATAAAAACAAACCAAATATTCATTAGACGGAGAATTTTTCAAGGCGATTCCTTGAGTCCTCTCTGGTTCTGCTTTAGCCCTAAATCCATTATCCAACATGTTAAACAACAAGCAATATGGCTACAATATCAGACATGAAAAAACATCACAGTTTACACTGTCACTCTCGTGTACAGTACATGGATGACACAAACCTTTATGCATCCACACAAAAACAACTTCATCAACTCTTAGATATCATACGTTCATACTCCAAGAACATACAAATAAACTTTGGCCTAGACAAATGCAAAACACTTCACATAGAAAAAGTAATCCTGAAGAAAGGAGATTTTTCACTTGGAAATTGAAATGTTATTGAATCCATGGAAGAGGGCAATTTTTACAAGTATTTAGGATTCCAACAGAACAAACTAACAGAACATACATAAATAAAGCAGCGATTAATTAAAGAATACGAAAGTAGGTTAAACACTATTCTCAGAACACAGTTGAATGCAAAACCCAGTTAAAGCAATAAACGCATATGTCGTCCTAGTACTTATACATTCGACTCACACAGATCTTGAGCAACTTCAAAATAATAATAATAATAAAACACTTACTAAGCATAAACATCATCAACCTAATTCCTCCTTAGAAAAATTAACTCTTCCTCGTAAAGAAGATGGCCGCGGCCTGACTAATATAGTTATCCTGAACTAAAAACAAATTCTGACATTGCGAGTTTTTTTCCACAAAACCCAAGATACATCAAGATTAACAAAGCTATAACTGGCAGACACTAACCACACACCATTAAACTTAATGTTACACTTGTTTGGTTAGCTACGCCTTGACTTTAGTTAAGCAACCTGTATCAGCTAAGCATAACATTCCCAACATAATAATAATAAAAGAAAATAATTTTAAACAAGAGTTTTGTGAAATTTGTTATATTAGATCTATTCTTATTTATTAATAATAAAAACAGAGCGATACTTTTTTAAATTGGAAGACTTTTTAATAATATACTTATTTAAGTTTCTGAAAAAAAGCCTTTCTAGAAAATTTAAAATGTATAAATCTCTATAATAAATATAAAAATGATACGAATCTTACCTTTTTAAATTCGCACTGTAAAAAAAAACGTTATAATTTTATTAATAATTTAAAAAAATAGTTATGTAGTTAAAATTAAAAATGAGATAAAATAAAATTGTAAATAGAAATTTATAAATTAAAAGAAAAATTACTAACAAATTCTGAAAATTTCTTGCATTTTNAAATATAATTTTTAAAATTTAATAATAAATAAAATTATTTTATTTATTATTAATACCTTTAATTATAAATAAATATTTTAATTTATGATTTATTATTGGCTAGAAAATTATTTTTATCTTAACATATATACTACAAAATAAATAAATGATAAATTATAACGATTTGTTTATTAATAATTTAATTACAGTAGACCCCCTATAACATGGTAAATAATTCCGTGCTATATGAATTCCGTATTGTACGAGTCACTTAGATTTTACAAATACGTTCACAGCCCGGCACACTTACTTGTAAAATCTAAGTGACTCGTACAACACGGAATTATCTACCGTGTTATATGGGTCTACTGTATTAATGTATTTATAATAAATAATTATTAAGTAAATTAAATACAGCAATGATATAAAATGCAAAAACTCACTTTTAAATAATTATCTTTTAAACATTGATTAAAGTTCTATAAACAAAACATAAAGAAAATGTATTGAAAAAAATCGAATCATAAATTATCAGAAAGAAATTTTTAAGTTATTTACTTGCTGGAAATTATCATTGTCAGTTTCATCTATAATTTGACAACATTCCTCAACCTTAAAAATGTAATTAGGAAAAATAATATATAAGAAAACCATGTTATTTGAATAAATATCAATAAAATGTATTATTTTACCTCTTCTCTGATTTTCTTATCTAGAAAAGAATTACCAATAATTTAATTAAAAATTACAAAATACCGAAATATTTATGACATATTTACTTACCTAAACATTGACGTAGTAACGTAGCTATCGATGACCATACCTTAATAATAACGTGAATTATATAAATTTAAAACATTTATAAGAAATTTTTAACTATGGATAATTACCTTAAATTTTGCATTAACCATGTCATCTTGGCAATCTCTGGCTATAAAATACAATATATAATGTGTACATTAATTAAGATGCTAGTGAATTATCATAATTATGTTGCTTAGTAATGATGATAAATATCGCCGTAGTTACTTCTTATCTAAAGGGATCATCCGCAAATTATGTAACGTTATTTTTATGCTTTAAAACTACATCTCACCCCCTGTAACGCTCTGTACCGTTGCATATACCCACCTCCAAAATTACGTAACGAGTATCCTCGATCAACCAAGGGCTCTTAATTGTATTATGGAATAATACACAGCACGGAAAAGAAACATTATATATTTTATTAGGCCTAATTACATGTATAAAAGTAGAAAGCAGTGAGTCATTTTCTGTACCCAAGGATTAGACTTTAGCATTATGTAATGTTTTTGAAAACACCTTCCCCCCTTGTAACGCATCCTAACGATTACCCGCATACTCCCCCATCCATATCTGCGTTACCTAACTTATGGACAACACAAAATTAAAAGAAAAATTCTTTTTAAGTTTCTGCAAGGTCTAAGAAACAAAAAGACAAAGTACAAATTAAAGGACCCTTTAATTTGTACTTGCTAATTCATTAAGTAGCCTATTTTTANCAGTAATTAATTAAATTAAGTAAGAATTTCTATTTTTCTCTTATAAAATTTTAATTAAAAGAACTATTATTAAGAATTTACTTACTTCTTTTTGCAACTTGCATTCTTCACACTATGTGTTAAATAATTTAATTAAAATATATACAATATTTACATCTTAAACTTAATTTTAAAAGATATTTTAATGTTATGAATTGAAGACATTTGGACAAGAACGTGTTAACTCAGTTTCTTTGTTGAACATTGTTGAATGTCTATAAATATAGGGCAAATATAATCATTCAGACTCATGACCCATAATTTTTCATAGAGTAATAAGAGTAATAACTTCTCAAAAGTAATAAAAAGACAAAAATCTTCCGTGAATGTGTATGGGAGGGGGTGTTTGCGTTTATTTCGCTTAATATCTCAGGATGGGGTGAAGATAAAGAAACTAAATTCGGTATGGTAGCTTGAATATAAGGGGCATTAATGGTGTTATATTTTGGTTATAAAAGGTCGAGGGATAGAGGGATAGAAACTTTTTCAAACACTTTCTGCTCCTTGACACTGAAGGACTTAAATTATTGAGTGCGACCTTACATAGGGGAGACCGGGGCAAGATCGGCATGTTAAGCTTTACTTAAATTTTGTGTAATAAATACTGCTGTAAACTGAAAAAAAAGCTTTGCATATTGTCTATTGGAATGTTACCTTACTATAGAACTGGTTAAAATCAGTTTGGAAATAAAAATAATTAAAAT